AATCCCCATATTTGAGAAAAATTTCTGGGCTGAGCTTTTAAAAAAAAAATATATATTTCAAGCAAAACAATGGCCATTTGCAGTAGGTAGGTTTCGAACCTACGCTGTCATTAAGAATCTGACTTCTAGTCAGACGCCTTAACCGACAGAACAAGGCTAAATTTGTTTGAAAGTCGAACTATTTCTGGTGATGTGCCATGCGTTGAAATATAAGGCCGTTATAATTTTATATATTTATGTGCTCTATCCACATATTTGAGAAAAATTTCTGGGCTGAGCTTTTAATTAAAAAATATATATTTCAAGCAAAACAATTTTGCGTTTGCAGTAGGTAGGTTTCGAACCTACGCTGCCAAAGAGAATCTGATTTCTAGTCAGACGCCTTATTTGACAGACCAGGGCTAAATCCGTTTGAAAATAGAACAATTTCTGGTGATGTGCCATATGAAATTTAAGGGCATTATATTGTTTTAAATTTATGAACTCAATCCCCATAATTGACAAAATTTTCTGGGATAAGCTGCTATTTACGTGAATTATATTTCAAGCAAAACAATGGCCGTTTGCAGTAGGTAGGTTTCGAAACTATGCTGATAGAGAATCCGATTTCTAGTCAGATGCCTTAACCGACAGACCAAGGCTAAATATGTTTGAAAGTCGAACTGTTTCTTGTGATGTGCGATTTGTAATATAAGGGCATTATATTGTTTTAAATGTATGCATTCAATCCATAATTGACAAAATTTTCTAGACTGAGCTGCTAATTACCAAAATTATATTTCAAGCAAAACAAATGGTCGTTTGCAGTAGGTATGTTTCGAACCTACGTTGCCATGTAGAATCTGATTTCTAGTCAGACGTCTTAACCGACAGACCAAGGCTAAATCTGTTTGAAAGTCGAACTATTTCTGGTGATGTGCCATTTGAAATATAAGGGCATTATATTGTTTTAAATGTATGCACTCAATTTCCATAATTGACAAAATTTTCTGGACTGAGCTGCTAATTACAAAAATTATATTTCAAGCAAAACAAATGGTCGTTTGCAGTAGGTAGGTTTCGAACCTACATTGCCATGGAGAATCTGATTTCTAGACAGACGCCTTAACCGACAGAACAAAGCTAAATCTGTTTGAAAGTCGAACTATTTCTGGTGATGTGCCATTTGAAATATAAGGGCATTATATTGATTTAAATGTATGCACTCAATCTCCATAATTGACAAAATTTTCTGGACTGAGCTGCTAATTACAAAAATTATATTTCAAGCAAAACAAATGGTCGTTTGCAGTAGGTAGGTTTCAAAGCTACGCTGCCATGGAGAATCTGATTTCTAGTCAGACGCCTTAACCGACAGACCAAGGATAAATCTGTTTGAAAGTCGAACTATTTCTGGTGATGTGCCATGCGTTGAAATATAAGTCCATTATATTTTTATAAATTTATGTACTCAATCCCCATATCTGAGAAAAATTTCTGGGCTGAGCTGTTAATTAAAAAATTTATATTTCAAGCAAAACAATTTCCGTTTGCAGTAGGTAGGTTTCGAACCTACGCTGCCATGGAGAATCTGATTTCTAGTCAGACGCCTTAACCGACAGACCAAGGCTAAATCTGTTTGAAAGTCGAACTATTTCTGGTGATGTGCGATGCGTTGAAATATAAGTCCATTATATTTTTATATATTTACGTACTCAATCCCCATATTTGAGAAAAATTTCTGTGCTGACTTTTTAATTAAAAAATATATATTTCAAGCAAAACAATGGCCGTTTGAAGTAGGTAGGTTTCGAACCTACGCTGCCATAGAGAATCTGATTTCTAGTGAGACGCCTTAACTGACAGACCAAGGCTAAATCTGTTTGAAAGTCGAACTGTTTCTGGTGATGTGTAATGCGTTGAAATACAAGGCCATTATATTTTTATAAATTTATGTAATCAATCCCCATATCTGAGAAAAATTTCTGGACTGAGCTGTTAATTAAAAAATTTTTATTTCAAGCAAAACAATTTCCGTTTGCAGTAGGTAGGTTTCGGACCTACGCTGTCATTAAGAATCTGACTTCTAGTCAGACGCCTTAACCGACAGACCAAGGCTAAATCTCTTTGAAAGTCGAACTATTTCTGGTGATGTGCCATGCGTTGAAATATAAGGCCATTATAATTTTATATATTTATGTACTCTATCCACATATTTGAGAAAAATTTCTGGGCTGAGCTTTTAATTAAAAAATATATATTTCAAGCAAAACAATGGTCGTTTGCAGTAGGTATCGAACCTATGCTGATAGAGAATCCGATTTCTAGTCAGACGCCTTAACCGACAGACCAAGGCTAAATTTGTTTGAAAGTCGAACTATTTCTGGTGATGTGCCGTGCGTTGAAATATAAGGCCATTATATTTTTTTAAATTTATGTATTCAATCCTCATATTTGAGAAAAATTTCGGCGCTGAGCTGTTAATTAAGAAATATACATTTCAAGCAAAACAATGGCCGTTTGCAGTAGGTAGGTATCGAACCTACCCTGCCATAGAGAATCTGATTTCTAGTCAGACGCCTTAACCGACAGACCAAGCCTAAATCTGTTTGAAAGTCGAACTATTTCTGGTGATGTGCCATTTGAAATATGAGGGCATTGTATTGATTTAAATATACGCACTCAATCCCCATAATTGACAAAATTTTCTGGACTGGGCTGCTAATTACAAAAATTACATTTCAAGCAAAAAAATTTCCGTTTTCAGTAGGTAGGTTTCGAACCTACGCTGCCATGGAGAATCTGATTTCTAGTCAGACGCCTTAACCGACAGACCAGGGATAAATCTGTTTGAAAGTCGAACTATTTCTGGTGATGTGCCATGCGTTGAAATATAAGGCCATTATAATTTTATATATTTATGTACTCTATCCACATATTTGAGAAAAATTTCTGGGCTGAGCTTTTAATTAAAAAATATATATTTCAAGCAAAACAATGGTCGTTTGCAGTAGGTATCGAACCTATGCTGATAGAGAATCCGATTTCTATTCAGACGCCTTAACCGACGGACCAAGCCTAAATCTGTTTGAAAGTCGAACTATTTCTGGTGATGTGCCTTGCGTTGAAATATAAGTCCATTATATTTTTTTAAATTTATGTATTCAATCCCCATATTTGAGAAAAATTTCTGGGCTGAGCTTTTAATTAAAAAATATATATTTCAAGCAAAACAATGGCCATTTGCAGTAGGTAGGTTTCGAACCTACGCTGTCATTAAGAATCTGACTTCTAGTCAGACGCCTTAACCGACAGACCAAGCCTAAATCTGTTTGAAAGTCGAACTATTTCTGGTGATGTGCCATGCGTTGAAATATAAGGCCATTATAATTTTATATATTTATGTACTCTATCCACATATTTGAGAAAAATTTCTGGGCTGAGCTTTTAATTAAAAAATATATATTTCAAGCAAAACAATGGGCGTTTGCAGTAGGTAGGTTTCGAACCTACGCTGCCATAGAGAATCTGATTTCTAGTCAGACGCCTTATTTGACAGACCAGAGCTAAATCCGTTTGAAAGTAGAACTATTTCTGGTGATGTGCTATTTGAAATATAAGGGCATATGTATGCATATTTTTTTTAAATTTGTGCACTCAATCCCCATAATTGACAAAATTTACTGGACTGAGCTGCTAATTACAAAAATTATATTTCAAGCAAAACAAATGGTCGTTTGCAGTAGGTAGGTTTCGAACCTACGTTGCCATGGAGAATCTGATTTCTAGTCAGACGCATTAACCGACAGACCAAGGATAAATCTGTTTGAAAGTCGAACTATTTCTGGTGATATGCCATGCGTTGAAATATAAGTCCATTATATTTTTATAAATTTATGTACTCTATCCCCATATCTGAGAAAAATTTCTGGACTGGGCTGTTAATTAAAAAATTTATCAAAGATGTTATGCTTTCACGGCCAGAAACTACATTACTAAATATTTCCGGGTTTTTGAGCCGTGGTCCCGAGATTAAATTCGACGTTTCGTCTACAACTGCGGTAGACATTTTCAAGAGCGGCGATGCGGTAACGGTCGAAGTGTTCTTCCGTACTGCTCTCCGATGACTGGTTGGTTGACTGGAAGATCTGCCGTATTTAAGCGCGCTGTAGTGGGCGTGACCTCGGTGGCGGGCTTGGGTTGAGCTTGTCTGGGTAAACACGTTGTTTTGTTGATGACCTGAGTCCATGTTTTTACTGATATTGAGACCTTCTTCTTTTCTATTGAAATTATTCTGATGTTTTTGAATTTCAATAGCTTCTCTGATAAGACGTGGATAAAAATGTGGTGTTTTGTCCAGTACCTGCATGTCTTTGAACATGATACGATGGTCACCTTTGTAAAAAGCATGTTCTACCATTGCTGATTTTTCCGTGTGTCCAAGCCGGCAGTTCCTTTTATTTTCTTTTAGCCTAGTTTCAATGCTTCTCTTTGTGGTACCTATATATACCGAGCCACAGGAACACGGAATGCGGTATATCCCTGGTGAAGAAAAGGCGTCCCTTGTATCCTTGGCAGACCTGAGGCTTTGTCTGATTGTAGTCGTTGGTTTAAAGATGACCCGAACGTTGTGTCGTTCGAAATGTTTACCGATCCTGTCTGTGACGTTCTTAATAAAAGGAAATGATACATTCCCTTGAGGTTCCTTTGTCGTATCTCTTGTCTTAGATCTTCTATTTTTCATAGCTTTTTGTCAACTCTTATGTTCGCTCGCCTTTTTATGTCGTTGTAAAGCAGCTGATCTAACACCAAAATTTCTAAAAATGAAAAGAACACTCAAGTCACCACAAGCCAACAGAATTTATAATCGGATGGAAAAAGCCTTTTTGCGGGAAAGAGTCCATCATACGAGACACAGCATGGCCAACTTAGATAACAACTTGCTAACCCTGAATCTAAAATTAGCAAATTCCATGCATAACGAGGACTGGGACAAAATAGATAGACTTACTTATGGAACAATGGAAGCGACAAGGGATTCTGCAACCAGGAGACAAATTAAGAAATTCAATGACCTTCTAACTAAGTCAAGTGAATCTCCCAGCACTGATTTGTCAAGGACTGTGGTAAACCTGTCTCAGCGGAAATTATCAGCAGAAGAAACGAGCATCCTCTCGAAAGGCGGGAACTTCGCAATCACACCGGACTCTGTACCATTTGAAGACATCATTGCAAACATCGAATCAGGAATTCGTAACCTGCAAGCAGATGTCGCAGAGGAAATTCGCACAGAAAGTGCCAGAATTTTACGCCGGGCGAAGCCACCGAAGAGTAATGTCTCATCGAAGGAAAAGAGAGCAATAAATACATAAGCGTTATAGTCCTTCCAGCTGACAAGGGGAACGCGACTGTAGTACTAAATACCGTAGACTGCGAAAAGAAAATTGGTGATCTGCTAGACCCCAAAACATACAAAAAGTTGCAACAGGACCCAACCAACCGCATCCTAAAGAAAACAAATACGTTAATCAAGAAGTCATCTATCGAACCAGAAATCCAGCGAAAACTAAGCAATTCGGAGGCATTACCACCAATATTATACGGATTGCCAAAAATCCATAAAGAGGCAGTACCCTTGAGACCCATAGTTAGCGCTATAGGTTCCCCGACTTACCATCTCGCCAAGCATCTAACCAAACTACTTGAACCACTCATAGGGAGGACAGCATCACACATCAAGGACTCGACTCAGTTTATACAGAAGATCAAAAACATCACATTGTCACCCAAAGACATATTAGTGAGCTTCGATGTTGTTTCTTTGTTCACTATGGTGCCAGTCAAAGAGACTTTGGATTTAATATCTGCACGTTTTCGGAACGATGTCACAGAACTTTTCCGACACTGCTTAACCACCACTTATTTCCAATGGAACAAGGAGTTTTATGAACAAGTTGACGGTGTAGACATGGGAAGCCCATTAAGCCCGGTCATAGCAAATTTTTTCATGGAAAAGTTTGAACAGCAGGCATTAAATACTGCCCAAAAGAAGCCCAAGTGTTGGTACCGCTACGTGGACGACACATTTGTAATATGTAAAGGAACATAAAAGGAACTGCCGGCTTGGACACACGGAAAAATCAGCAGTGGCAGAACATGCTTTTTACAAAGGTGACCATCGTATCATCGTATCATGTTCCCGGAAACATTTAGTAATGTAAAAAATTTATATTTCAAGCAAAACAATTTCCGTTTGCAGTAGGTAGGTTTCGAACCTACGCTGCCATGGAGAATCTGATTTCTAGACAGACGCCTTAACCGACAGAACAAGGCTAAATCTGTTCGAAAGTTGAACTATTTCGGGTGATGTGCCATGCGTTGAAATATAAGTCCATTATATTTTTATAAATTTACGTACTCAATCCCCATATTTGAGAAAAATTTCTGGGCTGACCTTTTAATTAAAAAATATATATTTCAAGCAAAAAAATGGCCGTTTGCAGTAGGTAGGTTTCGAACCTACGCTGCCATAGAGAATCTGATTTCTAGACAGACGCCTTAACCGACAGACCAGGGCTAAATCTGTTTGATAGTAGGACTATTTCTGGTGATGTGCCATTTGAAATATAAGGGCATATGTATGCATATTGTTTTAAATTTATGCACTCAATCCCCATAATTGACAAAATTTTCTGGGCTGAGCTGCTAATTACAAAAATTATATTTCAAGCGAAACAAATGTTCGTTTGCAGTAGGTAGGTTTCGGAACTATGCTGATAGAGAATCTGATTTCTAGTGAGAAGCCTTAACCGACAGACCAAGGCTAAATCTGTTTGAAAGTCGAACTGTTTCTGGTGATGTGTAATGCGTTGAAATATAAGGCCATTATATTTTTATAAATTTATGTAATCAATCCCCGTATTTGAGAAAAATTTCTGGGCTGAGCTGTTAATTAAAATATATATATTTCAAGCAAAACAATTTCCGTTTGCAGTAGGTAGGTTTCGAACCTACGCTGCCATGGAGAATCTGATTTCTAGTCAGACGCCTTAACCGACAGACCAGGGCTAAATCTGTTTGAAAGTAGAACTGTTTCTTGTGATGTGCCATTTGTAATATAAGGGCATTATATTGTTTTAAATGTATGCGTTCAATCCCCATAATTGACAAAATTTTCTAGACTGAGCTGCTAATTACAAAAATTATATTTCAAGCAAAACAAATGGTCGTTTGCAGTAGGTACGTTTCGAACCTACGTTGCCATGTAGAATCGGATTTCTAGTCAGACGCCTTAACCGACAGACCAAGGCTAAATCTGTTTGAAAGTCGAACTATTTCTGGTGATGTGCCATTTGAAATATAAGGGCATTATATTGTTTTAAATGTATGCACTCAATTTCCATAATTGACAAAATTTTCTGGACTGAGCTGCTAATTACAAAAATTATATTTCAAGCAAAACAAATGGTCGTTTGCAGTAGGTAAGTTTCGAAGCTACGCTGCCATGGAGAATCTGATTTCTACTCAGACGCCTTAACTGACAGACCAAGGATAAATCTGTTTAAAAGTCGAACTATATCTGGTGATGTGCCATGCGTTGAAATATAAGTCCATTATATTTTTATAAATTTATGTACTCAATCCAAATATCTGAGAAAAACTTCTGGGCTGAGCTGTTAATTAAAAAAATTATATTTCAAGCAAAACAATGGCCGTTTGCAGTAGGTAGGTTTCGAACCTACGCTGCCATAGAGAATCTGATTTCTAGACAGACGCCTTAACCGACAGACCAGGGCTAAATCTGTTTGATAGTAGGACTATTTCTGGTGATGTGCCATTTGAAATATAAGGGCATATGTATGCATATTGTTTTAAATTTATGCACTCAATCCCCATAATTGACAAAATTTTCTGGGCTGAGCTGCTAATTACAAAAATTATATTTCAAGCAAAACAAATGTTCGTTTGCAGTAGGTAGGTTTCGGAACTATGCTGATAGAGAATCTGATTTCGAGTGAGAAGCCTTAACCGACAGACCAAGGCTAAATCTGTTTGAAAGTCGAACTGTTTCTGGTGATGTGTAATGCGTTGAAATATAAGGCCATTATATTTTTATAAATTTATGTAATCAATCCCCGTATTTGAGAAAAATTTCTGGGCTGAGCTGTTAATTAAAATATATATATTTCAAGCAAAACAATTTCCGTTTGCAGTAGGTAGGTTTCGAACCTACGCTGCCATGGAGAATCTGATTTCTAGTCAGACGCCTTAACCGACAGACCAGGGCTAAATCTGTTTGAAAGTAGAACTGTTTCTTGTGATGTGCCATTTGTAATATAAGGGCATTATATTGTTTTAAATGTATGCGTTCAATCCCCATAATTGACAAAATTTTCTAGACTGAGCTGCTAATTTCAAAAATTATATTTCAAGCAAAACAAATGGTCGTTTGCAGTAGGTACGTTTCGAACCTACGTTGCCATGTAGAATAGGATTTCTAGTCACACGCCTTAACCGACAGACCAAGGCTAAATCTGTTTGAAAGTCGAACTATTTCTGGTGATGTGCCATTTGAAATATAAGGGCATTATATTGTTTTAAATGTATGCACTCAATTTCCATAATTGACAAAATTTTCTGGACTGAGCTGCTAATTACAAGAATTATATTTCAAGCAAAACAAATGGTCGTTTGCAGTAGGCAGGTTTCGAACCTACATTGCCATGGAGAATCTGATTTCTAGACAGACGCCTTAACCGACAGAACAAAGCTAAATCTGTTTGAAAGTCGAACTATTTCTGGTGATGTGGTGTGTTTTAAATGTATGCACTCAATCTCCATAATTGACAAAATTTTCTGGACTGAGCTACTAATTACAAAAATTATATTTCAAGCAAAACAAATGGTCGTTTGCAGTAGGTAAGTTTCGAAGCTACGCTGCCATGGAGAATCTGATTTCTAGTCAGACGCCTTAACCGATAGACCAAGGATAAATCTGTTTGAAAGTCGAACTATTTCTGGTGATGTGCCATGCGTTGAAATATAAGTCCATTATATTTTTATAAATTTATGTACTCAATCCAAATATCTGAGAAAAACTTCTGGGCTGAGCTGTTAATTAAAAAAATTATATTTCAAGCAAAACAATGGCCGTTTGCAGTAGGTAGGTTTCGAACCTACGCTGCCATAGAGAATCTGATTTCTAGACAGACGCCTTAACCGACAGACCAGGGCTAAATCTGTTTGATAGTAGGACTATTTCTGGTGATGTGCCATTTGAAATATAAGGGCATATGTATGCATATTGTTTTAAATTTATGCACTCAATCCCCATAATTGACAAAATTTTCTGGGCTGAGCTGCTAATTACAAAAATTATATTTCAAGCAAAACAAATGTTCGTTTGCAGTAGGTAGGTTTCGGAACTATGCTGATAGAGAATCTGATTTCTAGTGAGAAGCCTTAACCGACAGACCAAGGCTAAATCTGTTTGAAAGTCGAACTGTTTCTGGTGATGTGTAATGCGTTGAAATATAAGGCCATTATATTTTTATAAATTTATGTAATCAATCCCCGTATTTGAGAAAAATTTCTGGGCTGAGCTATTAATTAATATATATATATTTCAAGCAAAACAATTTCCGTTTGCAGTAGGTCGGTTTCGAAACTACGCTGCCATGGAGAATCTGATTTCTAGTCAGACGCCTTAACCGACAGACCAGGGCTAAATCTGTTTGAAAGTAGAACTGTTTCTTGTGATGTGCAATTTGTAATATAAGGGCATTATATTGTTTTAAATGTATGCATTCAATCCCCATAATTGACAAAATTTTCTAGACTGAGCTGCTAATTACAAAAATTATATTTCAAGCAAAACAAATGGTCGTTTGTAGTAGGTACGTTTCGAACTTACGTTGCCATGTAGAATCGGATTTCTAGTCAGACGCCTTAACCGACAGACCAATGCTAAATCTGTTTGAAAGTCGAACTATTTCTGGTGATGTGCCATTTGAAATATAAGGGCATTATATTGTTTTAAATGTATGCACTCAATTTCCATAATTGACAAAATTTTCTGGACTGAGCTGCTAATTACAAGAATTATATTTCAAGCAAAACAAATGGTCGTTTGCAGTAGGCAGGTTTCGAACCTACATTGCCATGGAGAATCTGATTTCTAGACAGACGCCTTAACCGACATAACAAAGCTAAATCTGTTTGAAAGTCGAACTATTTCTGGTGATGTGGTGTGTTTTAAATGTATGCACTCAATCTCCATAATTGACAAAATTTTCTGGACTGAGCTGCTAATTACAAAAATTATATTTCAAGCAAAACAAATGGTCGTTTGCAGTAGGTAAGTTTCGAAGCTACGCTGCCATGGAGAATCTGATTTCTAGTCAGACGCCTCAACCGACAGACCAAGGATAAATCTGTTTGAAAGTCGAACTATTTCTGGTGATGTGCCATGCGTTGAAATATAAGTCAATTATATTTTTATAAATTTATGTACTCAATCCAAATATCTGAGTAAAATTTCTGGGCTGAGCTGTTAATTAAAAAAATTATATTTCAAGCAAAACAATGGCCGTTTGCAGTAGGTAGGTTTCGAACCTACGCTGCCATAGAGAATCTGATTTCAAGTCAGACGCCTTAACCGACAGACCAGAGCTAAATCTGTTTGAAAGTAGGACTATTTCTGGTGATGTGCCATTTGAAATATAAGGGCATATGCATGCATATTGTTTTAAATTTATGCACTCAATCCCCATAATTGACAAAACTTTCTGGGCTGAGCTGCTAATTACAAAAATTATATTTCAAGCGAAACAAATGTTCGTTTGCAGTAGGTAGGTTTCGGAAATATGCTGATAGAGAATCTGATTTCTAGTGAGACGCCTTAACCGACAGACCAAGGCTAAATCTGTTTGAAAGTCGAACTGTTTCTGGTGATGTGTAATGCGTTGAAATATAAGGCCATTATATTTTTATAAATTTATGTAATCAATCCCCATATCTGAGAAAAATTTCTGGACTGAGCTGTTAATTAAAAAAAAATTATTTCAAGTAAAACAATTTCCGTTTGCAGTAGGTAGGTTTCGAACCTAC